GATTAAGCCAGTAGAAGCATGATAAGCACTTAGTAAATGCTCAATAAGCAATCTCTATTATTATTGTTTTCTTGATTTTTTTTGTAGGGTAAGACTTTTACAGATGAGGAAACACATTTGCTCAAGATCACTCTAGAGGGTAGGGCATGGTGAGGGCAGAGCAAGTTGTTGATTACTGGGCATTTTCCCTTGTACCACTTTGCCTTGCTTGAGGAATGTGAAACGTGGACTGGGAGCCACTTCCATTCTTAGGGGGTTTTAGTTGTCCCTGAAAAAAGAAGAATGAATGGTGTTCTCTATGAGAGGGACCTAGAAACCTGAGTCTTGGACTTGGGCTTATGATTCTCCTACTCTGGTCTCAACATGACTACTGTCCCAAGTTCTGAAAACTTTGTATCAAGTCCGCCTTCTTTTCTCTAGTATCCACATTGGTTAGCCCTCTAATTATTCTTTAGGGATTCTGGAAGCAGGAATCTAAAAGAAAACTTTGTGAGATAGGAGGTCCTGGAGCGCCAGGTAGGGGGAGACTTGGGACAACCCCTCACCTCTCAGAGCTCCTCCCAGGCTTTCCCCCTCCTCAGGATCCTGGGCAGCAGGGCTCCAAGCCTCACTCTCCTGTTCCATCCAAGAGATGAGGTCTGGTTTGGGGTCTGGGAATCCTGGGAGAGAACAGGGATCACAATGCTGACCTGTGAGGTAGTCTGGGAAGATGGTATCCCTCTGCCCAGATAAGGGCACCTCCTCATAACTTATGCTTAACCTGGACAGGGTCTGCAGCGCTCATGCCTGAAGGAAACGGATGCGGAATACAAGGACTCTCTAACCTGAAGTCCTGGGTATGGGAGGTGGCTGGTGCTGTTGATGGACAGTGCAGGATTAGGGTTTACAATCCCCTCAGTCCTTATGTCATCTCCCCTGTGAAACCCAGTGGAGGAGAAGGGGGGACTCTGACCCGGGGCCTCACCGAGCGTGCCCAGATGGCCGTAGGTCTCCTGCATTACGTCCCGATATAGGGCCTTCTGCGCGGGCCGCAGACACCCCCACTCCTCCAGAGAGAAGTACACGGCAACGTCCGCGAAGCTCACGGCCCCGGGCTTCTTGCAATCAGGTTCGGTCACCCCAGGTCTCAGCGCCATAAGCGGGGCTGGGGGCGGCGCCATGCCGCCTCCCAGCCCCGAGCAGTGCCTCCTCTGTTCCCGGGACCACCGCCTCCCCACGCCCGGCCCCAGCTTTCGTCGTCCACAGGAAAGGCTCTGAAGGCCGGGGCCCCGCCCAGCCTTGGCGTCGCAACGGCAGTCGAGGGAACCTGAGTAGCAGGGACTGGCTGCTGGGGATTCGGGGATTCCGATGGGAACAAACAAAACCCCTCGGTGTTTATTCACTTCATGGAAGCTTGGACATAAGACACCCGGGTTAAGGGACCCGGAAGGTGTTTTCAGAAAATATGGCGACATCCTGGCTTCAGTCGTCACTGGCTACTCTTAAGGGCGCCAGCACTTGGTCACATCAAACATGGCGCCTGTCTGGCTTCTGTGGCCTCACCGTTCACTTGCCCTCAAATACAATGACCGCTGCAGAGGGATGTTTGGGGGCCTGGGGAAGGATGGGAGAGATTGGTAGGGGGACTTCTTGCCTTCAAGAAATATGGAAGGTCCGCAGCTTCCAGCGCCTCCCTTGCCCGCACAGCGAAGTGGCCGCTGATTGGTCACAGGGGCAGGACGCCGCGGCGCCGCGCCGGCCTGACGGTGCGTTGGATGGCCCCTAGCGGTCGGCTTGCTCTGCCATTGTTGGAACGCCACGCGTCCTTGGACCCTGGGATTGTGTACGATGATTCTTTCCGTTTCCCTATGGCGGGATCTGGAATCCAGCCCGCAACTGCAGGAGGACGTACACGCCTTGCCAAGCCCTGGAACAGCCGAGGTAGAAACCAGGTACACGTTTACAGTCGGCACATTTACCGCTGAGCCCACCTGATACCTTGCCCTGGCGGGGCAGCTGGCTCGGTCCCTGGACTGCACCTTCCGGCGAAGGAACGTGCCCGGTGACGCTACAATTGGAATGGGGAAATTTTTAATTTTAATTTTTTTCCAAGTTATTTAATGTACATGGTTTTTGGAAAGCAATACAAAAGAGGCAGTCCCATGCACCATTTCCTCCTGTTCCCTAGAGACTACTTGAACTCTTAATTTGAATTATATTGTACATACAGTAAAATGCTCAACTCTTCAGTGTCAAATTCGCCAAGTTTTGACAAGTGAATATTACAGTGTTAACCATCACCCTAAACAAAGATAATAGGGTACTGATGTCATCCCTTAACATTTTCTTGTGCACCCTTCCCAGGCAATACACACACTTTTTTTTTTCATTGTTTGGGATTTGTTCATTTGGTAAGCTGGAAGAAAAATTTTTTCCTTTTTTTTTTATTTATTAAGATATCGTTGATATACTCTTATGAAGGTTTCACAAGAAAAACAATGTGGTTATTACATTCACCCTTATTATCGAGTCCCCCCATACCCCATTGCAGTCATTGTCCATCAGTGTAGTAAGATGCCAGAGTCCTATTTGTCTTCTCTGAGCTACACTGTCTTCCCCATGACCCCACATACACCATGTGCACCAATCATGATACCCCACAATCCCTTTCTCCCACCCTCTCTCACCCCCTCTACCCCTGCCCTTGGGTGGGATCCAAAAGTTTCATTAACATGACTATACACCCATTTAATCCTTAAGGCTCTGAAGTGTTTTCAGAAACTGTGGACAAAGACCAAATATACTTGGAAGATACATATTTGGTTTTCTGAATGACCAAATAGGTATTTCTTATAACTCATTATATCACACTGCCATTTTCCAAAGTGTTTTACCAACTTATACTCACTGGTAGTGTAAGAGAGCTCAACACTTGCAGAACTTACTCTTGACTATATGTTGTTTTGAATTTGGTTGTATCATGAAATAGAATGCAAATTCATATGAATTTTAAAGCTATTAAAGGGAAATAATACCTACTGTCAGGAGTACAATACGAGGTTACCCTACCTACAAATTAATGTTAGTCTGTTACTGTTTCATGGATGCTGGCAGAAGACAGGAGACTCCTATGTCAGAGTCAAAGTACCTTATTAATGGCACAACCCTCCTGAGTATCACATATGCATTGGTTCCTTTTGCCTCCTAAGTCCCACAGAAACAACATGGAGGAGCTCAGATGGATGCTAGGCACACAGTGGCACATAGATGGATGTTAGGCATTATAGGGGAGGAAGGATGAGGTTGGAGAACCTGTTATTTTATGGTAAGCAGCAAGCAAGCTGCTCTTGGCCCCATTATTTCTTCCTCAAGGTTGCTTGACGCAAACTCAACTCTGAGAAGTGACCTAGGTAGAGTGGCCAGGATCTTGCTTTTCTTTCCCCTCTATATTCAAGGTTATGCTTATTAAAGCAAAAGGATACAAATTAAAATCAGCAAAGGGAAAAGGAGCCTGGGACAAAGATCAGGAGAAACCAGATGCAAACTTCCCAGTGGAGCTGCACAGGAATGTGGCTTAATTCTCCCAACAATGATTTGTGACAATATGTACAAATTGTTGCCAACCAGAGAAAATCACCCAAGCCTTGGGTGTCTAGGGATTTTATTGGGGTTCAGTCAGAAAGGCATGGAAGGTGCACGACTAACCTCAGCTACTCAGACCCTAGTCCTCCACAGCAAAAACAGGCATTCATCATAAATCACATTAGGATAGACTTACCTGGTCAGACTGGTAGGACGTGACTCAGGCCTCCAGCATACAAAATTGTATTTTAATCAGACAAAATACTATAAAGGCTCAGAATTTATCTCTCAGGAGTGAGCCAAGTGCCAGTCCTGAATATGAGCTTTCTTTGGAATGCGCAGAGTTTGAGCAACATAGGCCTGCTGACTTTTACTGCATACACCTGATCTCCATGAATCCACTATGCCTGGTGAACAATGTTTTGGATCTCCAAGAATTAGTTTAGATCCAATGTCCAGTAATCTTCTTCTGTGCCCAGACACCCTAGTAAATGGCTGCAGGTACATTTTGAAAAAGCTAGGAAGATCTGTAGTGTATGTTTTTCCAATGTAACATTGTCCATCAGGGGATCCACCCTCCTCTCATTTAGAGGGCTGTAGGTATGTAATTGGCTCAAGTCTGAGAATTTGTTAAGGGCAGAGCCTTGTATTTTTGGCATACTCAGCAAGTTTGTGTAGGAACATGACTCATGGAGGAGAGCATCTCCTAATACCTACTTTAGGGGGTTCTTGTACAAATTAGATTGCAATGTATGTAGAGATAACATCGTTCATGGCATATCATAATTGCTCAATAAAATGGCTATAAAACAATTGTGGTAGGCCAAGAATAAACAGACTGGATATAGTGAATGCAGGTTACTGTTTCATGAAATTTAGCTGAAAATAGGTGATGGGGATAGAGATCAGAGGCAAGTTCTTGTCTTTAAGACAGCTTTTAGCCTATTTATAGGCTAGCATGTATGTGTTCCAGATGAGAGAGATTCTGAAACCATAAAACTAAGAGGCAGAGAGAAAAACAGATGGAGCAAAATCCTTGAGAGAGCAGTAGATGGAATCTAACCACTGCTATGTTCATAAGCATTGCATCTGAGGGACTTCCCCTGAGGTGGGCTGGAGGCAAGTAAATACTAGTGGCCACACTGGTAAAGTTAAGAGTCAGAGTGGGGAGTGGAATCTCAGGGGAGCTTCTATTTGACACCTTATGCCTTCTTAGTGAAGAAGGTATTTCCTAGTTAGGGACATTGGGAAGACAGTAATAATGAAGGTTCAACTGAGGCTAGAGATTAGGAAAGATATCATGGATGATCCCTCTCAGTAGCATTAAATTTTTTCTTCATGGCTCATATAAGAGCATTAAGATAGATTGTAGATTAACCCATATTGGGGCTGAGTAGTTCATTTTTCTGGTTGCACGTGAAAGAAACTCAAACTACCTGAAGCAGAAAGGGCAATTTATTGGAAGGATACTGGGATCTCCCACTGAATGCAGGACCAAGATCACAGCTGGTTCTCAATGGACCCTGGGACCTAAGTGGACCTATGAGAGTCTCTCATCTTGGCCCTCCACAGGCCACATACTAGAACTTGACCACCAATGGATCCCAAGTTTTGTGACTTACAAACTTTTCCACCTTCCAAAGAAAGTTACAAAATTCTTAAATAAGGAAACAGTTGGGTCAGCCTGGTGATAAAAGTAGGGAAAGAGCCAGTTCTGAAATGGGGCTACACAGACATTCTAATAGGTCTCTGCTAAGACAGGGTAGGTCTCTATCAGAACTGTCAAAATTTCTACTCAGTCAAGGAACAAGATTTACAATTTTTAAACAGTGATTCCACAAGGAACATAATTCATTCATCTGACATTTTAATGAGACCCACTCTGGTTTGACCCCTGCCTTGGGGCAGCTCATCATCCGAGGAGAAACAAATAGTTACAATGCAACTTGTTAAATTCCAGAACAGAAGTAATTACAAATGTTGTGTTCCCCAGCAGCTACCCAACTCGGGCTGAGATCAGGAGAGCTGAAGGAAGAAATGACAGGGGAAGGCTGACCCCCTCCAGCTGGTGGACAATAAGTCAAGTTTGGATTCCAATTTGGTACAGCTACCCAAGGCAGAGTGGTAGGCCTTGTTCATTTAACTTGGCATAGCTTTACTGGGCACCTACTCAGGAGTGGGCACCATGGAGGCATATCAAAGATTAAGACACATTGCTGCCATTACCCTATGGAGCTTATGTGAGCAAGGCAAGCATGAACACAAGTTGATGATTGGACTCCTCCTGCTTTGGATCCAATTACCTAACTTTTCCAACTTCCTTGAATGGCCTCACCTCATTTAATGAAAAATGTTGACTGAGGACTCATGGAAGGGTCTGTGCTGATGTCTCCTTATTCTAATGATAATCAAGGAGGAGTGAGACCCAGTTCTGAAGGATTTTCCAGCCACTGGCTACCTGAAACTAATCCAAATCCACTAGATGAAGTATAACAAACTGGTCCTGGTTTTGCTTCTTGCTGCTAGATCACAGCTCCTTTTTTCTCCTTAAAATCAATATTCTCCCAAAGCTCACTGGGCTTATGCCCTAGACCCAAACTGAAACAATTTTCCAAACACAGGGTGTGGAAGATTTAGACTCCCAGCGTGTGGTTAAAAAAAAAAAAACTCAGGTATTTAGGTGTCTGCAATCCAATAAGCCTCTGGTACAGTGCTACCACCCCCAATTCCACTGCAATCTAGAGCTATTAGAACAAGTACTGATCAAGAAGGTGTACAGTATACAGTGGGGCTGGCTTATTTTTTATGACCCTTTTAAGGGGACACTGTAAAACTGCCAGTTGGAGAAAGATCACATGTGGGAATTGAAACCCTGTCTTTAAGGTATGATTGACAAAATTACTGCTATTTAACTTGAAATTGTGGGGGCAAAGTAGTTGTGATTACTAAAGGGCTGCCTGGTAGATGAAGTATTAAGCATATTGTGAGCGAGGCTTACAGGGAAAGAGAATGTGGCCCTTAACAGCCTTCTGAAAATCAGAGCTATCACACAATGAAATGACCTGCCTTGTGAGGTAGTGAGCTCCCTGTTGAGGGAGGTTTTAAAACAAGGGTAGAAAACCACTTGGCAGGAGTGTTGTAAAAAGAGAGCTAAACCAAGTTCTCTTTTTGATATGGAGGAAGAGGCAGAGCCAGGGAAGATTCTGCCCCCTATAAATAGGATTCTCCTGACTGTATGCAAGGGGAGAGGTAATCCCTGTATGCACAAACTAGGAAAGCAGACAGGCCCTAAAATAGAGGGGGAGAACTTTTAGCCCTGATATTCACACAGAAATTCTTTTAGGATAGGGTAGCTTGGAAAACTTTAACCAAATGATGTCACCTCTCTTAACTGGACTGTCTATTGTAGACACAGTTAGTAAGGCAGCCAGTGTGGTGGATTTATACTGAAGTTCAGGTCTGGTAGCAAGACACCTGGGTTTTAGTTGACTCTGCCCTATATGACCTGGGGCGGCTTCTCTTCTCTGGACCCCACCATGAAAGGACCCCACAGTCCTTCTCATTCTAAAGGGCATTGCCTTTCTGACTGGCGCCCCCTATAGCAGATCTAGGGCTACAGTTTTGGGCCTTGAGGCTACACTTGTGGACTGCCAAAGACCATCTCTGGCGGAAGCAACGGCCACACTCAAGGCAGGGGAAGGGCTTCTCCCCAGTGTGCAGGAGCTGGTGCTGAGCCAGGTGGCTCCACTGAGCGAAGCGCTTGGAGCACAGGTCGCAGGCATAGGGCCGCTCACCGGAGTGAACACGCCGGTGACTGGCCAGTAGTGAAGGGTAGGCAAAGCGGCGGCCACAGTCATCACACACATGCAGCTTCTCTTCGGTGTGTGTACTGCGATGGATGGCTAGGGAGCCACTCCGCCGGAAGGCACGTCCACAGTCCGGGCAGGGGTAGGGCTTCTCTCCTGTGTGCAAAAGCTGGTGCTGCAGCAGTGTGCTGCGCTGGGAGAAGCGGGCCTCACAGTGGTCGCAGGCATAGGGACGCTCCCCAGAGTGCACTCGCCGGTGACTGACCAGGCGGGATGATGAGGAGAAACGCCGCTCACAGTCTGGACATGGGTAGGGCTTCTCACCAGTGTGGATGCGCTGGTGGATGACCAGGGCAGTGCGCTGGCGGAAGCGGCGGCTGCATTCTAGGCAGGTGTAGGGCTTCTCTCCTGTGTGTGTGCGCTGGTGGATGGCTAACAGGGAGGGGTAGGCGAAGCGACGTCCACAGCTAGAGCACTGGTGAGGTTTTTCGCCTGTATGCGTGGTCCGGTGATTGGCCAAGGACCGGCTCCTCCGGAAACAGCGGCCACAGTCTGGACAATGGTAGGGCTTCTCACCTGTGTGGATAACCTGGTGCTGGGAAAGGTTCTTGCGCTGGGAGAAACGTTTGCCACACTGGTCACAAACATAGGGACACTCACCAGAGTGTGCCCGCCGGTGACTGACCAGCAGGGATGGGTAGGAAAAGCGGCGCCCACAGTCTGGGCAAGGGTAAGGCTTTTTTAGATTCTGTGCACACTTGTGGCTCTCTAGAGCTGGGTGATCAGGGAAGGTACAACCACAGTCGGGGCAGATGGGACCCCCAGATGTCTGCCTGGGGATCAGTCGTGGTTTACTGGGCCGCCGTCCTCGCTTCCCCTTTCGTGGTGCCTCCTTAGGTGGAAATACTTCCTTCTCTCCATTCTTCTTTCTGGTTCTGGTTTCTATAGGGACACAGGGAGAAATTAATTTAACAAATATGGGCTCCTCCTCTTGCCTGTGTCATACAGTATTACAGGGTACAAGGCAGACAGATTCAGCCTGTCTTCAAGGAGTGTTAGTGCCATTGACAACTAAATGTGCCATACTAACATAGGCAAAATTCATTAAAAGCTCCTTAACATATTAAAAAATCACAACCTGTGGCACGATGACAGTTCCCAGACTGACCATATGAGGGCAAAAAGAGGGCGTAGCCCCCTAACCCTCCCTGTTTGGAGAAAATCCCCCCTGCTTTACCTCCAGCTATAAGATCACCCAATCCTAACCTCATCATGCGGCTCACCTCTCAAGCATGCCTGCACTCCCTCGAGTGTGTACTTTCTCCTTGATAAACGCCTTTTTGCTTGCACCTGCTTGACCTGCTCTTAAAGTCTTTGAATCAGAGTCAAGAACCCTCTCCTGGGTTGAGGTCTTACCTAGCTAGCAGGAAGACCTCCCCAGTCAGGACTGCCTGACAACAATACTGCTATGGAAACATGGGAAATAGGTATCACAGGAGCCCTAACTCAGTTTAGAAAAGTCGGGGAAGGTTTCTTGGAGATTAAGCTGATTTTAAAAATTAAAAGTTTTTGAAGAGGTAAGTGTAAGGAATTGGAAACAAATGAGGTATGAGCTGGCAGTGACCATGTCATAAGGCCCTGTAAGCCAGTGGTTCTCAAACTTTATTGTGATCAGAATTATTTGGAGGGTTTATTGAAACAATTGCTGGGTCCTACTCCCAGTTCTGGATTCAACAGATCTGCACGGGGCCCAAATATTTGTATTCCTAATACATTCCCAAATGATGCCACTGCTAGTCTGAGGACCACACTCTGAGAACCACTGCTGTAAGGACCTTCCTTGAACTGTATTTTGTCCAGTAGTTCTCAAAACTAAACATATGTCCAAATCAACGGGGGCTACTAAAAAATAAGTAAGTTCCTAGACACCCATAAGAGTAAATCAAGAGTTCTGGGTCCAGGAATATGTATTTTTATCAAGTTCCCCAGGTAACTTAAACTGACAACCACTTGACAACGTGCCTTGATAAAAACTGAAAAATTCTAAACAAGGAAATGTCATGGTCATTTCTGAATCTTAGAAAGATAGCCCTGATCCTAGAGAATCTGGGACAGAAACTCCAGCCCAGACAGTTGCATCTGCCCTTATAGATGGATCTGGAGCCCTTCTACCTGAATGGCCTTAAGAGCCTTGCTTGATCCTAAGGAGAGTGCACAGATTCCTGCACTGATCAGGGGCCATCTGCCTGAAGAGCAGAAAGAGGCCCCTGCACACCAGGTGGCCATCCCCCATAATATCCCTTCAACCAAAACCAAGAAAACTCAAGAAAGGTATAGGGTTGGTATCTCAGTCACAGCTCAATTCAAAGCAAACTAGGGGCAGGGATCCTGGGAAGGATGCAGGAAGGTAGCTCCTTGTAAAAGCTCACTGATTCACTCACACAATAGAGAACTGCAGGTGATTAGTATGCAATAGACCTGTGAATCTTGGTGTGAGGGACCAACATACACCATCAGAGACAAGACCGGAAGCTGTAAGAATGAACACGGTAAATTACAGCATTGGTCATAGGTACCCCTAGCCATCAAAACCCTGAACTGAGTCATTAGAGGCTGCAAGCCATCCTTCGGCAATTTTCACTCACTTCTTTGGACTGTTAACCACCTTGGGCACTCCTGCGGATCCAGGGCAGCCGGTTCCCAATCATCCGTATTTCGTTCCAACCAGGAGATGAGGGCTGGTTTGTGACCTGCGCACCCTGGGGAAGGAGATTCACTCAGAGGCCCAGCCCGTAGTATTTACGCTGGGTAAATATCGACCCAGTGGCATCTCCTGCCAAGCCCCCGTCCTCCTCTCCTGACACACTTGGTTGCAGGCCAGGACCCTGGGCCCTGGACCCTGGACTCTGCCCTATCCTGCCCTCCTCTCCCCTCCCCCAAGCTCCTTCATTCCTTAAGACCCCGCGGAAGCGAATTGAGCCCGGCCTTACCGAGCGCGCCCAAGTGGCCGTAGGTCTCTCGCATCACGTCCCGGTACAGAGCCCTCTGCGCGGGCCGCAGACACCCCCACTCCTCCCGGTTGAAGTAAACGGCCACGTCTGCGAACTTCATCGCCCTCGGCCTCCTTCCACTTCTGCGGTCGGGTCGGGCCTCTCCTGGTCCTAGGACTGAAAGCGGAGCCGAAGGTGGTGCCATTGGCCCAGAGAAGTCGGCGTCACGACCCTCCCGGTCCCGGCCTCAGTCCCTGGGCGCTGGCGGACCCCGGAACTCGGGAGCCCCTGCCAACCCCGGCCCAGCGTGCCTGGAGAGGCCGCAAGGGAATCGGACTCGGCCGCCTTGAGGGGCTAACGGAAACCTTTCACTGTTATTCAGGAAACTCCTGCCCGAACTTGGGTGAAAGGCACTGGAAGATGCCTTCGGGAAAAATGGCGGCGCCGCTACTCCAGTGCCTTTGCCTGGAACATAGGCAGCTTCCAGCTATCGATTTTATTGACCATAGCGCCATGCCGGCTTCCTAATCTTTTTGCCCTCAACTGTGATGGCGCCTCGATTGGGCTTCACGTCCCCCTTTCCCCCATTATTGCACGCGCTTATTGGGCGGCAGACGAAGATCGAGCGTTCTGATTGGGTGCTGGAGAAAGCGGCCTGTTTGAACGAAGCCAATGCAAGAGGAAGGGCAGGAAGCCTGATACTCTTGTGTTCGGTGACCTGCGGACCGTTCTGAGGCGGGAAGCGGCGACCTGGCCGGGCATCAGTAATGTTCTCTGTTGTCAGGCTGGCGTAGCCTAGCTGAGGGACGAAGGATTTGGGTGACTGAGCTTCTCCAGCCAAACCGGAGCCGAGTTTACCCTGGGTTCCTTGTCGTGGTTTTGTCAGAGGAGCGTTTGCTTTGGATAACCGGTAACTGCCTTACTCTTTTGGGAAGGGAATTAATGTTAGCGTTCCTGTGCAGGCATCATGCCCACCGTATTTCACATTTCTTCTTACTTGTTCTTTGCTACCATTGTGTGAGGTGGTGACGAACATCATCCCATTTCTACTGATGAGGAAACTCTCAGAGGGATACTGCTAATAGGAGCACAGGTTTAAACCCTGGGCTGACATGGCCTTTATTCATATCACTGAATAGGCTCCCTCCGTGGCACTGTCCTAATTTGTTTGCTAACTCTAAAGTCCACCTGAGCTCCTGAGCACCCCTCAGATTAAACCTTCTGCATATCTCTCTGTGCTTTATTTTTACATATTTGTTCAATGTGCAAAGCATAGTGCTAAGCAGTTAGGAAAAGTGCTGTTGTAGAAATTAGCCATGGGCTGTGCTCTGAATGGATTTTGCAGTCTAGTGAGGTGTACAAATCACAGCTAATACCAACAGTGATACCAGCGTGTATTTGAAAGGCATAGGAAAGTTGAGGAATAAACCAGTCAGCCCCAACTCCATTGTCCCCATTTTGTGTAAGTGTTTCAGTGCAGAGCTTCACCAGCTCAGTGTCATCTCCTACAGGATCTGGGGGCAGGAGAATATACCATTTGCTACATCTCTTACCTCAGCTGGTGACATATATATCTGTCTTTCCAACCCAGTAATCAATACCTTAAAGCACCTACCAAGGGCAAAACCTACCCCAAAGCCTGCAGGAAAACAATGTGAAAGGATGTCACGAGGTAACAAGCAGTAAGACATTCTGAGGAATGTGATTTTGAACAGAGGATGTAGGAAAAAAAAGACTACAGTACACATTCATTGAGTTCTACTCTGTCCTAAGGATAGTGACTAACGAGTCACTAAACAGTGAACAAACTACAGTACTGGGGGAGTAGATGAATGTCAAGATTGCCAGAATGAGTAAGACATCAGGTAGGAAATGAGTTTGGTCTATGAAGGGGTAGGATTTCGGGAGGGCAGTGGTGCTCAATATACATCTGTTGAATAAAGAGCTGAATTCCAATGGCCATCGAGATGTCTGGCACAAAGCCAGGAATCCAAGACCATTTTGAGTGTGAAGGGAATAACACTTTCTGATATAATTTAAGATATATTAATGTAAACTGTAGGACTGAAAGGGTAGGTTGGCACCAGATATTGGAGGGCTTTAACCTATACATTGCAGGGGTAGAGGAGGAGTCTAAATAAGTCTAGAGAAGTGAATGAGCTTCCAATAATGTTTTAGTAAGATTACTCTTGTAGTTTCTAGGATGAACTGATAGTTTTGTGCCTATTCTTTCTGCCTACACATAGTTCAGTTTGGAGAAATAAGAATTTAAACGTAGGCTGCTAAGGGAATAAAAAGGCAAATGGATAACAAACTATTTCAAGGAAGTGACTAAACAGAGGAGGCTGGACAGGAATCAGACTTCCTCTGTGGACATTTTGCCTAAATGGTAGTGATGTGCTGTCAACTGAACAAGGAGAAAATGCTGGCATTGATCAAGAAAGATGATTAAATCCTGAGGTGCTGGGCTCTCTTCCCACATGTAGAAAGTGGGAAGGCAAGCTGGACTGAAGGTGCAGCCTCAGCTTAGTTTAGCCCCTTTGGCCCTAGTCTTGTTGTCATCTTGGATAGAGATGCTAAGGCAGGACCTGGAATCAGGCAGAGTCAAATGTTCTTAACTACAGAGAAATACTTTGGAGAATGTAGTACCCAGGACTTCAGAGCAGAGCCCCTTGCCCCTTTCTGTCTTAATTCCCTGGATCCACACTGGGCACAGGGACAAGCTGGCTCCTCTGAAGGATAATTGCCCACTGAAGAGAAAGCTGGAGAAGATCCAGGGTCTACACACCACGAAGCCACATAAACACCAAAGGCACTCTGTTCTGAGTAAAGGGAAATAGTGTTGAAGGCCAACTATGCACCAGTTGCCACCCCATGGGCATATTGATATAGATGATCTCAGTTGAAACTCACCTCCCAGAGTCCTTCTGAGGCCAGTTATCAAAAGGCTGAGCAGCTTGCCTGAAACCTGTTAGTAAAGGCAGGGATGAGATTTGAACCTGGAATGCCACTGCATTGCACTGGCAGCTCTAAACTCGGTGAAAGACTTTGAGATTAGTTTCCCCGTGTTTCCTCCTTAGTGAGGGGAAGTGCCTGAAAGTGCAGCCTTTGATTATAGTACACAGATGTCACCTTACAGACTGACTGGAACCCAACTTTTGCTGAGATGTCATTGTACCATAAACCTACACTTGGGCAAGCAGTGTTAGTCCTGAAAGAGGATGATGAGAAATAAAGGAATCTTACCTTTTTGTAATGGGTTCACACAGTACAGTTCCAACCTGTCCCTTTCTGAGTGAGGTAACTCATTGGCACATTTCTGATTACCTCTGTATCCTGCTCTGTGAAGGGACTTCAAGACACCTACAGAACTTGTCACTTTGTACATCTTCCCTTTTCTCCTTTCTCTCCTGCCTCTGTTCATTCTGCATTGCCAACACCTGATGAGAAGGGATATCTACCATCATAAGCTCCTTTACAGCACCTGACCCTGGTCACCCACTCTCCTGGAATTTATCTGAGAAACAGTGGATGTGAACTGGGAGGTCCTAATCTCCAAAGGCAGGAGCCTGGCATGGGGACTGCACAGGTCTCCCACACCTCTGCCTCTCCCTGTTGCTTGCTGGTGGATCCACTGGTGGGCTTTCAGAGCACACTTTCTCTTGAAGATTTTCCCACGCTAGGTGCAGGGAAAGGGTACTCTGCACAGAGTGGATGTGCCCATGGCTGAGAAGGAGGGAGGAGCAGGAGAAGCAGATGCCACCCTCTGGGCAGAGGTAATGTTTCTCACCTGTGTGTGAATCTGTGAATAGCCAGGGGAATCCCTGGCAGTGCCACATTGTAGGCACTCACTTGGCTGCTAACCCAAGTGCATGAGCCAGTGACTGGCCAGGAGAAAGGGGTATGCAAAGTGGCACCCAGAGTCTGTGCATATGTGTCTGTGTGCAGACAGGGCTCTGCTTGGGTGGAAGTGGCAGCCACAATGGAGGAGCTGGTGCTAGATCAGGTGAACCCTCTGGGAAAATTGGAAACCATGTGACCCACAAATATGGGGACAGTCACCAGAGTGGATCTGCCTGTGTCTCATTAACGGGATGACAAAGAGCTGCCCACAGTCTAGATGTTTCTAGGGCTTCTCCCTTATGTGCGTGACTACTTTTTCAAAAGCAGTAGCCACACTGGAGGAAGGGGAAGGGTGTGTTACCTGTGTGGATGAGCTGCTGCTGGAGCAGGTCCCTGCACTGAGAGCAGCGCCCATATTCTCCCAGGGAAGGGCTGCTCAGTAGAGTAGACCTGCTGGTGGCTGGCCAGGAAGAAGACAGCCCAGACGTGGGTAAGGCCTCTGAAGGCTGAGAGCACAGCTGTGGGTTGGCTGAGGCACCCAGAGGCAATGTCTGGCCATACCCATTGCAGTTAGGGCTTTTAGTTACTTGAAGGGGGTCTTACCATGCCTACCTTACTTTGTGGCCTCTCTCATACAGGCTGCGTTAAGTTTCTTGACCCCCCACTTCTTCCTTCTATTGTTTTACTTACTCCTGCTTTCTGCAGAGCCAAGAGACTTGGAACTAAAGATCATAGGGTGCTTTAAATCACCATAGCTATCCTATGGGAATCAGGCAGTTGTGTATGGAGATGGAGTAGCATCCAAGACTGAGTGCTTGTTAGGCCAGTGCCTGAGTGTGAACCATCCATCCAAAGGTGCCCCTGCCTGTGCCAGAAATTTCTTATTTTCAGAAAAGTACCATTACTTCCTCCTCACTTAAGGCCTCCCAAACTGTAAGCATCCTCATAAAGAAGGGCTGAATTCTTTTCATAGGTAAGTTGGCACCTCTGGTTAAAGACCTTAATGTGGGCATTTCAGCAGAAACATTTCTCAAAAAATAGACCTCAGTGCCTTTTGAGCTCACAAAATCCCCTGTCTCCATCCTAACTGAAAGGTGGGGCTTCATATCATTGAATCCTTTATTGATAGAGAGGGCTCTGGGCAATTTCAAATCAGCTGGATATGCCCTGAGAGACAAGGACAGGCATATAAACCTGAGTAAAAGTGAAGTTTTGGCCCCTCTCCAAGGCCAGTCAGAAATACAGCATGCAGATCCAGTAGGTTTAAGTTAATTAAAATGAAAAATTCACTTCCTCAGGCACATGTGCCACATTTCAAGTGCCAAATAGCCGCATGTGGCTAGTGGCTTCTATGATGGATAGCACAGATATAGAATATTCCCATAATTGAAGAAAGCTCTATTGGACAGCAATGATCTAAGAAAAAAGTAGTAAGAAAAAAGGCAAATAACATCTCAACATGTTCCTCACCCCTCTGCCCAATCGGAACAGCGGGACCAGCTACTCTTAAATGCAAGGAAGACTCCAGGTCTGGGAAAGAGAATTGTGGAAGAGGTTCGGAGGATTCTCATCAACTTGGGGTCTTTAAAGGATGTGGGTGTGGGAAGGAAGCTGGTGGGAGAGAGGGCCTGCCCTGGTTGGCTTCCAAAAGAAACTTCCAGCTCAGTTCCACTTTCCTCACCCATCCCAGATCCTGGATGCTGTGCCCCTTCCTGCGGATTGTTGGCTTCCAGGCTTAGCACCTACTCTTTTTCTACATCCAGGAGAAGAGAGCGGGTTTGGGAGCTACCAATTAAGGAAGAAGAGGCCAAGAGCGGACGAGGGAGAATATGGAGCCTAGAAAAGGTGCTTTTTCCTTGGGTAGGGTACGATCTCTTCAGCCCTTGCAGAGAAGACCCTCCCCAACAACAGACACACTATCAGGCGCATCTGGACAGAAGCGTAAGGGTCACAATGGAGAGAAAACGAGGGCCATGGCCCTTCCATCATGCTTAGATGGCCATGAGTCAGTCCACAAAGTCAGTCCGTATACCGTGCCCTCTGCAGCAAGTCCAAAACACTCTGCCC